GCAGCGCGCACCCTGAGCAGCGAGAGTGGCGCCACCAAGCGGCGTCCCCGGGAACTACTCCCAGCATCTCAGGGCCAAGCTGCCACAGCTTTGAACAGCGTCTGTGAGCATCCGTGCTTTAATCTTTAGTTATTTTGGTAGGTTATTTTCTGGGTGTGAGAACGGTCAAAAATTTTTCCCGTATAAGTTGATGGTAATTGCTTCTTCACCTTATCCCATTTCAGCTTACAAAAGGTTTCATAGGAACGCTCTACTTCCAAATAGTGTGGGGGACACCTGTATACATAGAGAGAGTGTATACATAATATATATGTATTCTAGATACTATATTGATACTATATAGATATTATTTGTATGTATACTATATACTAGATACTATGTATATACATATATAATTTATATATGCAGAGCTTCTCAAATTCATAATTTTGAGCAAAAGAAGCCAGACTTAAAAGGTTGCATGCTGTATGATTCCATTTATATGACTTTCTGGAAAAGGCAAAACTATACAGGTAGAAAACAGAGCAGTGGTTTCTGGGAGTGCAGCTGACTAAAAAGAGGCATGAGAGCATCTGGGGGTGACGGAAGCATTTTATATGTCGACTGTGGAGTGATGGCTCTCCGATTGTAGGCGTTTGTGAAATTCATAGAACTGTACACCTTAAAAGGAGTGTATTTTATTGTATGAAAATTCTACCTCAATCAACCTAACAACAAAAAACTTGCCAGTAGTATCATAGAATGCTATTATCAATAAATAGTTTTACATAATGCAACATTACTCTCACATTCAGAAAAATTCTTTTAAATTAAATAAATCTCCATCTTTCCCTGATTTACTGGGAACAAAACCTCCCAGAATTTAACAGTAAAAGAACAAACGATCCAATTAGAAAACAGGCAGAAGACATGAAGAGGACTTACACATGGGAAATGAGCACCTGAAACAACGTTCAACATCATTAGCCATGAGGGAAATGCAAATGAAACCCACAAGGAGATAGCACTACACGCCCATCAGAACAGCTAAAATAAAAAATGATGACAATGCCAAGTGCTGATGAGGATGCAGAGAAACTGGGATCACTCGCTCATCACTGGCGGCAGCGGAAAATTGCACAGCCACTCTGGAAAACAATCTGGCAATTTCTTTTTAAGAACTAAGCATACAACTACCATATGACCCAGCAATCATACCCCATTTACCCCGGAGAAATTAAAACTTATATTTACACAAGAATCTGTACAGGAACGTTTATAGCAGTTTTGTTCATAATAGCCCAAAACTGCAAACAAGCAGACATCCCGCGATGGGTGAACGGTTTAAAGAACGGTGGCACATCCACCCCATGGAACCCTTCTCAGAGATAAAAAGGAGCCAGTATTGCTACACACAGCCACCTGGATGAATCTCCAGAGAATTTTGCCGAGTGCAAAAATTCAGTCCCCAAAGATTGCATAGTATGTGATCCCACTTAACGTAGCATCTTAGGAATGGCAAAATGTTACAGATGGTCAATAGTTTAGTGATTGCCGAGGGTCATGGGAGGGCAGAGGTAGGGAGGAAGCGGATGTGGCTATAAAAGGACCACATGAGGGACCCTGTGGTGATGGAGCATTCTGCATCTCAACTGCATCAATGTCAGCATCCTGATTTTGATGTGGTACTATAGATATGCAAGACGTTACCGCTGGGGAAACTGGGCAAAGGGTACGCGGAGCCTCTCTGTATTGTTCTCACAAGCACACGCGACTCTACAATTATCTCAAAATTAATAGTTTAATTAAAAAATAATATAACGGTTTGCAGCATTGCTTGTACACAGTGGGGAAAAATTGGAAACAGCCTACATGTTTTTAGGTAGGGGAATGGTTGACTATAATGTCAGCTTCATAAAATGGAATCTTGTGCAGAAACAAAAAAAGAAAAGGTGCCTCTGCCCTTAAAAGCCACGTCGCCCATCTCTTCCCACAGCGCGGTGCCGCTTACACTAAAATGCACATGCCCATGGGTGGGTCCCGTGTGAACACGGCGCCCTGCAGCCTCAGCGGTGGTGATATTGTCCCCAAGGGATCTGAGGTTGATTCTTGTGGGGCTAAGGCATCTACCGTCCTTGTGCGTGAAGCACAGATGTACACAGAGGGCGTAAGCAGATAATTTATCGACAGCGTTAGAATGCTTCCCGTGGGAAGAAGTGTGTTTAGGGAAAAAAAAATGTCTAAAAAAACTCTTTAGGAGGGAAATATTGGGGAAAAATGGTCAAGAACTCCTAGCCTAGACCAACATTTCTCAGCCTCAGGCTGTTGACATTTGCGGCTGGATAACCCTTCCACGTGGGCTGTCCTGTGTGCTGGGGGGTGAGGAGCAGCATCCTGGCCTCTGTCCATGCCATGCCAAGAGCCCCAACGCCCAGTTGTGACAATGAAACAATGTCTCCAGACACTGCCAAATGTCCCTGGAAGAAAAAAGCGCTCCCAGTTGAGAACCACCAGACAAAGGACTGGAAGTCGCACGCCAAGCCCCAACCGTGGGAATGATGGCTCCAAAGTGCTTTCATTTTTGACGAGAATAATATATTCGGGGCTTACTTGTGTCATTAAAAATTAATTTTTCACAAATTGCTCTAGCTGAGAAACACAGTCCTGGAGGGGGAAGAGACCTGGGACCTGGGTCTAATCCCAGCGCTTCCCCAGCCTGCTCCAGGACCACCAGCAGGCCCCACTCAGAGGGCCTCTGAGGTTCCCTTCTCTTGCACCCACCGCCCCCACCTCCGACCCTCCACCATCCCCCCCATTCTTCATGCTTCAGGCCCAAACCATCTCTGTTAGGAACACTGTCTGTCTCCCCCCGCCTGGAAAACTCTCACTCACCCCTGGACCCTGACGTCCTGTCCTCCGGGAAGGCCTCATCACCTCTCCCCAGTAAAAAGGGCCCTCTGCTGTGATCCCACAGAGTTGTCCTTCCACATAACCGCGCACACCGTACCTGGCCGTTTACAGGGCACGGCGGCCAGCCCACATCGATGCCCCTCCCCAGCCACCCCTCTCCACCTTGCTCTCAGCTGGACCCTTCGCCCTCTGAGTCTGCTTGGCTCAGTGAATGTCGGGCACCACCAGGGATAGAGTGGGGAGCAGAGCGAGGTGGTTGAGTCCCGGCTCTCCCTGCCCGTCCCCTTCGGCAGGGCCCGACTTCCTCGGCCAAAGCCCAGCTTCTGCAGGCAGCCTCTCTCCTCAGCCACAGATCAGCGTCAGTAACAGCTCCTTCCTCTTGTCCTCTGTCCCCTGAGGGCGGTAACGGCTTCCCTGGCGCTTCACCACCACCTGTTAGTGCCTTAACCTGGTCCCCAAGTTCTAAAGGCTCCCTTCGCGGGACCCTGTCTGAACGGCTCCCGGCAGGTTCCTGACCTGATACGCACATCCGCCCTGCCGCTCAGATACGGGCTCCGTGAGCACAGCAGCCGTGTGCTTTAGTTTTAGTTTTGTTTTAAATCTCAGAACCCCAGTGGTCGGCACCGATAAGACCTAGAACATAGACAGGGCTCAGCGAAAGCTCACAGAATAAATGGATGAATGAATGAAGAGTGGAGGGCTGGATGGACTTACCGACGGGTGGAAGGACAGATGGGCGGATGGACAGATGGATGAGTATACGCCTGGGTGGACTTCGAGACTCCACCTTTGCAAACATTAATAACAGCTGAAACTGCTTGGTGCTCACTGCTTGTCAGGCACAGCCCCAAGCCCTTGATCTATACCCGCCCCACCTCCACAGCCAGCCCGGGAGGCAGGAGCACTAGCACGAGGGGAGAGCAGCTCAGAGGGCCAGCGCCAGCCCCGCCAGCAGGACGCTCTCCTGTCCCACGGCCGCCCCCACCCCAGGCCCTGGGCGGCCCTTGCTCTTTTCTCAGCGGGCCTGGCTTCGGCTCGTTTCCCTCCGCGGCCAGCCCCACCCCTGTCCCGGGCGTGTGTCTGAGAGGAGGTCTGGTTTGCAGCGTGGGGCCCGGGGAGGCGCCAGGCCCCGCCCACTCCACATCCCGGGACCCTTGTCTGTCTGCAGCAGGCGGGGGCTGTGCGGTCCGCAGGCTTCTGCTCAAAGGCAAACCTTTGCTCAAAGGCAAACGCCTCCTGCCCGGAGGGAGGACCGCGGCCCTGTGAAGGACGCCTCGGGCCCCTGCTCTCCTGGGTTCCTCCGCGACGCAGAAGCACTGGCTTTGGAGGCAGAAGATCCGGCCGAGAGCCCAGCTCTGGGAAACCGCCCTTCCACTGAGTCTCCGCAAACCGGGACTCCTAGTGCTTCCTTGCTGGATTCTGGCGAGGAGCAGATGGACTGTCCCGTGACTAAGCCGCACGGGCCATCACCGCCTCGCCCTCGGCCTGCCGTGTTCGCCGCCTCACATTTTCCCAAAGAGTTCTGCAGAACTATCTGATCTGGCCATCTCTGGGGGCATTGCCAAACAGGTTTTCTCCCCATTTGACAAATTAGGAAATTGAAGCACAGAGAGCTTGAGAGGCCTGTGAGAGGTCACACAGCAGGACACAGGCAGAGCGGGCTCAAACCCCGGGAAATCTCTGCGACTTCCCGGCTTTGGCTTCCCCCACCGCGAGCTGTGTGGTAGAAACAGCAGGCATTATTTATTTCCTTCGTTATTTATGCACGGCACGTTTGGAACAGGGCCCTTGGTGATTAAAGCGCCTCGGGACAGAAAAGCTGAGCTGAAACATTAGTGAAAATACAAAAAGGAAAACACAACAACAGCATCCCCAGGGACATCTCAAGGCGGAAGGACAGGAGTGCTGTTGAGGCCCTGACCTCATCCCCGGGCTCAGGAGGGACTGCTCCAGCTGGGCCCTCCTTCTGGATTCCACCCCAGGACCAGGCCATTCGCCATCTTCATTATCAGCAGTCGGAGCATCATCCCTCACGTTTCGGGGTCAGGCACATCTGGCGCACATTCAGTTCTGCCACTTCCTGCTGTGTGATCTCGGACAGGTATACTAACCTCTCTGAGATGCGCTGTGCTGGGCCGTGGTTCGTGGGGCAGTTGGAGAGCATGTGGAACGATGCAGATCAAGCCACAAGCAGAAGACCTGGAACGTTATAGCTGTCATAAGCGGTAGATCTCTGTTCTTCCTCTATGTTCTAAAGGGCCCTTTGACCTGCCCTTTAGGGTAGGGGGAGCATTCAGGCGCTGGAGCAGGCTGTCTGCTGTGCAGCACAGCTCCGACTCGGACTTGCTGCGTGCCTGGGGAGAAAGTCACGTAACATTTACAGCCTCATTCTCCACGTCGTTTAGATGGGCTAACGATACCGCCTGCCCCTAGGTGAGGGTGAAGTTTAAACAGGATAATAGGTGCAGAGGCCACCACGGAAACTGACACAGCAAGGGCTCTGTAACTGTTACTAATATTCCCCATCTTCCCAGCATGCCCACTTGGTCGTCAAGATGCGTATCATTGCCCCATTGTACAGATGATGGGAGCGAGGCTCGGGAAGGTGAAATGGCTTGACCAGGTCACACAGCCAGGAAGCAGGGACCTCCGCAGGGGCTCCTGACTAAGTCAGTACCTTTTCCGTTACAAGAGTCCTAAGGTTGTTCATTCAACGGGACCCTGAGGTCTTGGTCAGCTCTGCGCAAACAGAATGGACTGGAGGACACCTTGTGAAGAAAGCCTAGTCCACAGCTTCAGGCCAATCTGGTTTTAAACCCTCTTCCTAGCTGTGCGACCTTTGCTGGAACATTTAGCCTCTCTGGGCTTCTGTTTCGTGTATTTAACTTGGCTGTGTAATTACTGCCTTACTCCTCAGGGTGGAAGTGTAACAGTGCCCAGCACTGTGCCAAAACACAGCGAGTGCTTGGAGAATGCCGTCTTTCCCTCCCCTGCCCCCAGCAACACATCTGTCCTTGCCTCCCCTGGGCTCCTCCACCAGCTTCGTTCCCAGCCAGGGGGAGCTAACTGACTGATGGGGCCTGACATTCTGGCCGACAGGGTAGCTTCGTCCCTGCGAGCCCGCCCCGGCGTCCCAGACCCCTGCACAGCAGCTCCTTCCATCTGCACGATGCCGAGAGCTGACGAGGCCGCGAGGGGCGTGGGGGCCCAGCCCCAGACCCTCCAGGTCCTGCCCTTCTCTCTTTCCCTTCCCTGTTCTTCTCCCAATTCTGCCTCCTTCTCTCTCCTTCCCCTCATCTCCCCTGAAACTTTCAAGGAAGCAGCCCCAAGGCCCCTGAGCCAAAAATTGTTAACATCAGAAAAGTACAAGAGGATTTCATTTTACAGATGCTCAGTGCATTTTTACTCTGAGCGTGGGGCACTGAGAACACAAAGTTGAATAAGACACAGTCCTGCCCTGGAGGGTCTCCAGAGAAAAGTGATGCTCAACAGAAATGTACAAAACAATAGAATGGCCTGTAATAAACAAGAACTATAACAGCTGCCCTTTATTTATTCGGCGCATTATCTCCTGTTGAAGGTCACGGCTCAGGTTCAGAGGAGTCTTGAGTATTGCCCGAGGTCACACAGTCGGTAAGGCGTAGAGCTGAGATTCAAACCTAAGGCTGTCTGGTCTCAAAACTTGGCTCCTTCGCCTTCATCAAGTTTCTCTCTTAGGAAAGTCCAAAACAGAAACGAAATAGTCACCGTGCACTATGAGCAGTGAAATAAAAGCGCACAGACGACAGAGGGAATGGCTTTGCCTGGGGAAGGGGCAGGCAAACCTCACAGAGAGCTCCCACGAGCTGCGTGTGGAAGGATGGGGACTACACATGCTGTATCTGCAGCTCTGTCTCTGTTTCTGCTTCTCTGTCTGTCTCTCTGTCTGTGTCCGTACTCTAGTCTCCCAGCTCCCAGGTCCCTGAACAAGACCATCGCTCCGCTCTGCACTGTGATGGTGGCTATAACTGAATTCACACAACTGGGGCTGGGAGTTGACTGGTTAATCAAAAAAGTCAAAGTAGGAAATAATTTAAATAATGAAATATATGCTGCATCTTAGTCTGTGCAGGTTGCTATACACAACAGACTATAATATAAGCGTGGCTTGTAAACAACAGAAATTTATTCCTCCAGCTCCGGAGGCTGGAAGGCTGAGACCGGGGAGCCAGCACGGTCACGTCATGGTGAGGGCCCTCCTCCTGGATGGCAGCCAGCACCTTCCCGCCGTGTCCTCGCATGGCAGAAGGGCAAAGAAGTCTCTGGAGTCTCTTTCTAAGAGTATTGGTGCCATTTACGAGGGCTCCACCCTCGTGACCTAGTCACCTACCACAGGCCCCACCTCCTAACACCATCACATTGGGGGTTAGGATTTCAACATACGAATTTGAGGGGACACAAACATTCAGTCTAGAACACTGCCTGACCATCGTATTTTAACTTTAAGCATGGAAATTTGCATGTACCCGAACAACCTTTAGATGGAGGCCTCTGAGGCCCGTAAGAACAGGTCTGTTGACAGAATTCTGCCTTCTCTTTTCCCCATAAACCAGCCATAATATGTCTAGCATGTACGCTTCAGGCATCCTCAAAGCAGAACAAGAAAAAGCACCATGAGTGCTTCTGGATCTTCGTGCTTATTTTCCTACACTTTACAGGTCTGTCGCCCACACATAATTGGACAGAAGTTGTTTCAGCATTGACCTTTATGGAGAGTTTTCAAAGCATTCAACTTAGCTGTCACAGAAATAGAGCTTTCTTTCCAATATTTTACTTGTATTGGCCTTGCTATTATAATTATATTATTTAGTTAAATATGATGTGGACTGATGAAATATGAGTGCAAAAAAGAGAGGTGGTCGCTCTGATGAAAGCTAGGTTGAACGCTCTGGAAACACTCTGTAAGAATGAGCTATTGCAAGGGAACAAATCCGCTGATTCCTGCTGAACAGCTGCTCAAGGTGGAGAATACAGAGGCGGGTCGGCCTGACCCCGGAGAGTACCCTGACGGCCTTGATTTTCGGCCCACTGCTGGCACCAGGGACCGGGGAAAGAATCGTCTATGCAGACAGATAGTTAAGGGGCCTTCAGAAAGAGACTATTTCGTATTTCTGAGCCCCCTCCCATGGCACCATATCGGCTGGGGACCTGGCCTGCTGCTCGTCCCCCTCCTCGTTCTCCTGGGAGGAGGGAAGGAACTAACCAGCAAGATCCCACAACACTGGGCAGACTATTTTTTCACCAGTGGGCAGGATCCCTGTGCCAGAAAGGGACAGCTCGTTGTCACAGTCAGCTCTCTCCTCTCTCCCTCTCAGGGATCTCAGCTCTTGTCTCCTGTCTCATAGGGGTGACAGGAAGTTGTAAGAGAGGATGTCCCGAGGGGATGACAAGAGAGAAGGACCCGGCCAAGGAAGAGGCGGGAAGCGGGCAGGTGCCAGGTTGCGAGGATCTGGGACACCAGGCTAAGTCACTGGGACTTTATCCCACAGGCAGTGAGGCCGATGAGGTTGCATCTGTGCTGAAGAAAGGTCCCTGGGGTGGTTGACATGAGAACAGAGGCAGGGGGACCATCGAGGAGGCTGCTGCATCACATGGCCCAGAGACGATGAGGCTGAAACGAATACGGGGACACAGGTGGGGGTGGCACCTGATCTAACAATGGACTAGACGTGAGGAATGAAAGAGGAAAGGTCTCTGGTGACCCCCAGGTTTCTGTCTTGACGCATTGGCCCGCCTGGTGAGATGCGGAGACAGGAGGGGGAGCAGGCCTGGCGTCAGGATGGTGAAACCTTCCGTGTTGGCCATTTAAGCTTGTGGTGCTTGAGAGGCAGCCAGAAGGAGAACTCCAGAGACATTAGACCTACTGAGGAGATGACATCTTAGAAAGGGAGCTGTTCCAGCTGCTTGAATCAGGTGAAAACTGCCCTCTGCCTTGAGGATGTCTCATTGCTCTTGCTCGATTCAATAATTGGCAGCAGGACAGGTGCAGTGGAAAAAGCCACGGCCTTCAGATGTGCCCAGTCTGGGTAGGAATTCCCAGCTCCGCTGCTAGCATCCTGGGGGGCTTTGGCTGTGTGATTTCGTGTCTCCAAGCCCCCATTCTTCATCTATGAAGTGGAAGTCAATACAAATATGTTCTTCATGGACCGTACAGAGAAGCAACTGAGACAATGGCTGCAGAGCACCAAGCTAGCGCCCGGCACATAGTAGGTGTTCAATGAGTGGTGCTCACTAGCAGTTAGCAGGGGTATTCTATGTGTGACCTGTAAAATGCCATCCACTATTTTATCAACCCCACAGAAATCAAAGAATTATGATTCTGGAGTGGAAGGTCTGGTGACTCCAAGGGATTTGAGAAACAGACATCTATTCATCTCAGTTCAACAAGACTTTCCCGGGCTCCCCGGGTGCCCAGGCCTGGGAGAGGTGCTGGGAATTTAAGAGGACCTTCCCGAGTTTGTTCTGCTGTCCCCCTGCCATACACACACTCATCCAAGCTGACAGTCAAAGTCACCAAGGAGGGGTTCTCCCCACGCACATAGCAGCTCTCAAACAGACGTTCCACGCTGGGCACTGGGCACATGCACAAGAGTCGCGCCAAACCCGCGCCCTGGGGGCTTCGAGCCCAGTGCTGGGCATCAGTGAGTCTTGAATGAGCTTTTTCTCCAGGAACCAGTGTCCACCCCCGCCTCAGGCTCCCTGCCCATGCACAGGGCTGCCAGCCCATCTGTGTCCTTGAGAACACGCTGGGCTCCTGACCCAGGCAGCAGCTGCTCCTCTACCTGCTGCCCCCGACCCGGCACTGGTCCAACTCCGGGGCAGCGAGCAGAGAGATGGAATCTGAGAGCTGGGAAGGAACGTGGAGCTCGTCCAGGGCACAGCCTGTGCGACTCACTGAACCCGGAGCCAGAAGAAGCTTGATTGTCAGGGAGCCTGGCCCTCCGCCAGCTGTGTGGGTGGAGGCCGGTACTTGTCACTCTGAGCTTCAGCTTCCTTATCTGCAAAAAAAGGGAAAATAAATGCCTACTCCATAGGGTTGTTGTAAGGATTGTGCAGGAGATTAACCATTAGGACTCTTTTGACTGGAAATGACATTCATTGAATGTCAACTTAAGGGAAAAAAGAGAGAGTATCTATTGCTTCAAGGTGTGCCAGAAGTGCAGGAGCAGATCT